AACTGAAGCATTCCTCCTTAGTTGCCACTTAGGTCATCGCCTTTGCACGCGGTGCTTAACTGGCGAAATCTACTCTACGGTGATGACAAAAATCAAATAATCCTGGCACTTTTTCGGCGCTAATCATCGAAAAGTTCCAAATCGTCCACAGAACGCTTAATCGTCGACTCTTTTCTAGGTGCATGCTTAAATGTGGGATGTATGGCGGCAAAAAAAAAAAGAAATCCTCGCAAAGATAACCTTTCCGTGATCCTCAGTTCGCTGCCTTTGTCCCATCGCTTCATGCTCAGTCTCAGTCGGGTAATTCATTAACTTTTATTTCATGATACCCAGATCCCAGCGGCTGTAAAATTGTAAAAATGGACGTAAAGAAAAAAAGGAAAACGGTCGAAGGACGGGCTTCCGAGTTCGACTTCATCCAATTTTATTTTTTCACCGTGACATACAAGACTTACGGAAATATGACACTTTTCGCGGGAAACAAGCCGTTCTATTTATAAATCTACTAGGGAAAGGGTTGACTCAAGAAATTAATGTAGCTGGAGGCTCCATTTGATGGGCTCCTGACTTGTACTGTTCCTGGATAAGAGGGAGTCAGGGGCACCCAACGTCAATTTTCGGAAAATATCTGTTCGGAAGACGATTTGAGATCTAGAATTTTCGGACCTTTTTTTGTAAAATTTGTTGCTTGCCTACCTCTTCTAGGATTTTCGAACATCTAAAAATTGGTACTATTGCCCATTTTTAACAGAATTTTACCCTAAAAAGCTCATCTAGATTTTTCGGGAGCCTTTTTTTCTGGCTGAAATTTTCGAAAAGGTAAGGTTGATCCCTATAATTTTCGGATCGTTAGACTTTCAGCTAGGAAATCCGAACGGATGAAAAATTTTTAGGGGATAAAAATATGCCTATATCTACCGTTTAAATACTAAAATACGTTTAACAATGCTATGTTTAAGTGGTTTTGAACTATATTCTCGTTGGGTGCCCCTGGATGTTTAGGGAACCGAGGTTTTAAGAGAACAAAAGACTGCATTTTATACTTCAATATTTTCTTATTTCGACTCCCGGTTTCGACTTTAAAAGCCTTATCCATATTTACTCAACCCTGTCCATAAGCGCGTCACTTGGCCCTCTTTAAGAGTGCCTTCTGACGCATGATCGGTATCGTGATACAAGATGGGGCGAAACTTTTAGTTGAGATGAATGGTTTGAGAAACAATATTGCCAAATGCCCATTGCCTTAAGTAAAGTTTGTAGAATACGTTAATGTTCGAGATAACAGATTTTATACCGATTTTATAGAATGTAACAGTCATTTTTACAGCCTGTTAGTCTTTGAATAAGCGCATATCGGGTTTACTTAACAATGTTAACGGGGAAAAAAACGGAAAAGATGTGATTTTGATTAAGATGGCCATGTTGGCTGTCTTTAAAGTTTAAACGATGAACCAGTTGCGTGACAGCATCCTTCGCAACCGCTCGGGTCGGAGTCACCCAATGCACTTCCGGCTCCGATGGCTATGATCTTAGCCATGGAAAACCTAGACCCCACCCTCCACCCAGAAATGGTGCGTCGAGGGTTCATCCTTGATTCTGTCCAAAATTGTAGTTGTGTGAGGGCGATGCTCTTCCGGAATACAGTAACTTATGCTTCGTTTAACTGCCGCATGGTTAGCTCAGTTGGGAGAGCGCCGGTCTGCTGGGAGGGGGGGGGGGGGGGGTACAGAAAACTGCCAGGGGGGTTGGGGAAAAGGGACGGCAACCAGCGGCTTGTTGTATTTTAACCCTGTCGTTTTTAGACGCAGGGAGCCTCGTACAATGTATACAATGCACCAGAGAGGAGGGGCCCGTTCCAGGGTACGAAGGGGGAAACAGAAGCACAAGTTCGCGTGCTTTTCGCAGGTCATAACCTAGTATAGGTAGCAGTAAGAAGGATAAACCTAGTCACCACTCACCACATCGCACAGGGGGTCCAAGCTTCCGGGCGTCATACTCCACAAAATTCTAAAGGTGTGCGGGCCCTGGTTTTACTCGACACAACAATTTAGGCCTCATTTAACCGCCGCATGGTCACCTTCAGGGGGGGCCACCCGCTTTACCAGGGGGGGGGGGGCGGGTACTGAGAACTGCCAGGGAGGTTGGTGATAAGGGACGGCAAGCAGCGGCTTGTCGTATTTTAGCCTTGTCGTTTTACGAGGCTGGGGACTACGTTCAAAGTATAGAAAGCAGCAAAGAGGAGCTGGCCATTGCAAGGTACGAAGAGGGAAACAGAAGCATCAGTTTGCGATGTTCTGGCCAGGTCTTATCTGTGCGTCGGAGGATACAAACAGAGTATTGAGTACGGCAAAAAAACACTGAGCATTGCCAGGTATGGGATCATTTTACGTTTCTGGGAAACTGCCCACCTACCCCTCCACTAAACCAACATTAACACTTAGTTCTTACTTAGGGCAAAATGTTGGCTTAGGGGAGGGGTAGGGCAAAAGTTTCACAGAAACGTAAAATGATCCCAGGTATGTACGAAAAAGGGAAAGAGAAATAAACGCACGTGTTGTTCTTTCAGGTTCGTATTATGAGGTTGGTGACTATTATGAATTAACTAAGCGTAGAATGTAGCAAACGAGCCCTGAGTATACAAAGAAGGAAGTAGGAAACAGAAAAAGAAAAGCGGACGCATGCGTTGTTCTAGCCTGGCCAAACACAGCATTAGAATACGGAAAACAATTCGGAAACAAGCGTAAGGCATTGCAAAGGAAGTGGGGAACAGGGCGCGGGAAGCTTCCGCGTGCTCTGTTTTGGCCAGTTCGTACTTCGAGATTGAAGAAAACCACATAGCATAGAATAAGGTAAACAAGAGCTGGTTAAGAATTTCGGAAGGGTAGTAAAGGGAAAGACGGCAAAGAGCTCATAATCGGTTTCATTATTCCTCTAACCACATGTACTTTAGAATTCAACCCCTTTTGTTGTTTTTAAATTACTGGTCAGGATGAAAAGACGCAATAACAGCTTGACCTCGTGAAGTTTACTGACCCTAACATTTGCGATGTTATGACATATCAGTTCTACCAAACTGTTTTTAAATAGGGAGCTTAAGCAACTACGACGACGACCACAACGACGACTTCAAAAAAAAACAATAGGTTTAACGATCAAAGCAACAGCTCTGCACGTGCATCACGCTTTTTAGTACATTTCTTTGACGTCCACTGCACGACTACGACGTGAAACCTCCTAATTTGCCTTTTTATGGAGGGCGTGAACATACCACGACGAGTTTTTCTTCCTCTCTTTTAACTTTAACAATCATGCCAAGGTCATTATAGAAATCCAACATAGTGGCAAGAGTCATCCTCTTCTTCGATGAAACACACTTTCTGGATAATTGTCTGAAGCTAATTGAGGTTCAAAAACTAATTTACAACCATGGCTTATAACCAGCTAGCTGTGGGGAACGTCTAAGGCGAACAGTTCATCTTAGGATTTAGAATACTGATAAATGTCCTTGTTACCTAATCAATAAGTTGTAAAGAAAACGTTTCTAACTAAACCACTTAAGGTGCCAGGTAAGTAAAACTTGCTGTTCGAGAATAGTAGAAATCTATCAAACTCGTTAAATAGATTCTTTTAAAAAAAATAAACTATCCTGAAAAACCACATTGGTCATTTTTACACTAAGGACACATTATCCGTCTGGGCGAACTTAGGCAAACATTTGTAGTTCGTCTGGTTATGCGTCTCAAGTATAAAAACGGGTTCAAGACAAATCAGTTGTACGTCTGGACGAACTTTCCTTCGAAATACGTCTTGAACAACGTACCACGAAGGTAGCTCGTCTGGACGCATAATGCGTCTTGTGCCCGTCTTTATACTTGAGACGCATAACCAGACGAACTACAAATGTTTGCCCAAGTTCGTCCAGACGGATAATGCGTCCTTACTGTAATAACGGCCAACTAATAATTCGTTTTAAGAAATGGAAAAAAAATAAAGAAATTTAAAAATTAATGTTCAGCTGTGGTTAACCTCCAATTTTGTAGAGAAAATTAATAAAGAAATGCCAAGATTTGTGGAAAGAATAAAGAGATCTAGAGAAACCGGTTTTATGGAGCACTCCTACTCGTTCATTAAACATGAGTTAACAATTCTAACTAGGCAAGAAAGTTCCTCGGCGCCGGTGACACAAATCTCCCATAAATCATCCGTTAGAACTGATTTAGTCTGCTACCGAACAAAAAGAATGAAAAATTTTAAAAAGACAAAAACACACAAAATGATCTACATCTAAATCTACATTTTATTACGTCGGTAAAGTCGATTAGACATCACACTATACTTACTGTTTGTAAGAAATAAAACACCTGGCAAGTAGCTAAGTAGAATAAGTGAACCTATCGAAATAAATGATATTAATAAATACAACGACCTAGTCGTGTCTCATTTCATATTTAAGATAATTTGCTAAATTTGTTTTAAAACAGTCAAGTGACTTAGAATTTACAGTCGCTGAAGGCAAAGGATTCCTTTCAAATATGAATCTAGGGAAAAAAGAGAACTTGAAAACGTCCTTGAGAATTTTGGGTATTCTATATTTAAAGGCATGGCTCCTACGTGTTCAGGTCTCGCTATTCGGTACAAGAAATTTTTATGTTTTAATATTCACAACACTATGACTCAGTTTGTACGTTAGTGTTAATTTGTTTTTCTTTCTTCTAATTTCTAAAGTGTCCCATTCCAGCTCTCTAAAAGTATATCTGTAAGGCTAGCCGTTCGGTTGTAATTCTGGAGGCAAAAACGTGCCGCCTTTCTTTGAACTCTTTCAAGCAACATCATCAAACAAGAACGTCTATTTACAAATTTTATAGGCACCGACCTTTGTGTTGACATAAAATATTTACAAACCAACTAATGGATGAAATAAGAGGATAATTTAAACTGAAAATCTGTCACTGATGGACTGATGGAGGGTTACGAAGACGTTGATCCATGCACATCTGGCATTAACCTGTTAAAAAAAAAAAATGGTTAGTGGTGTGGGGATGTTACCCAGACAGAATATAAAAGGAGGATGTACTATTTGCAGGAGGCTAACAAACCATTTTGATGCGGAGGTTTCTTATTACTTCTACAAGCTACTACAGCTTAATTACTCAGCTACAAAAAAACAAGAACTACCCGTCATTGAAAACCAAAATGCGCTAAGTTCTACCCTTCAAGAAGACGTTTAACGAAAAAGGTTAGCACAGAGTAGTTTAGTCATAGGGACTGAAAACATGTTAAGGCCAGTTTGCAGCGATTAATGTCGCCCCCTGAAAGGGAATCCGAATTCCGGAATCCAGTAAGTTTTTGATTATGGAATCCGGAATTCTGGGCTTTGTAATCTTGAATACAGCTCAAGGAATCTTGAATCCGGAATTCAAGTTCAACTGATAAAAAATCATAGAACGGAAACCAGTACCTGAAATCCAGAATCCACGGGGTGGATCTAAGACTGTCTTGGATTCACTTACATGGGCCGAATTAATGGCATTAACTGTTGATGATCCCAGATTCACAACAAATTATGACCTTACACGTTACTTTTTGCAGTTCATCCAGATTAATGCTAGACTACTTTTCTTTTCTGATAAGCTTATCTCTTTTAAAATTACATAAAAAGTTTACCATCCGAAAGCCATTGAAACCAAAATAAACTAACCAGTGCCTGCCACGCATGCTATTTTAGCAAGAAGATCCTTGCATGCATTTATCGCAGGTCAAGCCTACGTTCACCGTCAAAATTGTCCAAACATTCCACATTTTAAATGCCTACTGCCTAATTTCGAACCCAGACCTCTCTATAAAGACCTGCAAAACTAAAAAAAACTCTTTAAATCGAGCGAGTCTCTATTATGGTTCACTCTGAACCTTTAAGTACGACAACTGTGTGTGTTCTGACACGTGCCAATAAAAACCTTAAATATGTTTGACTGAGCGACAACCATTTACAATTTTTAAAAGTTCAATCCTCCGAGAGAACCCCTACCAGGCCTTTGTCATAGGTAATGTGTACAGATGTACAAGGATCATTGGAAAACAATTTTTCTTTTCTTTTGTTTTTGTTCCGTTTTGATGTTTTTGTTTTATATATTTACTTCTTTATTTGACCAGGTAATCAGATAAACAGATTATTCAACTTACTTTTGCACTAACAAATTAAGGGGGTAAAAACAAGTGACATATTCCAGTCGCGGGTAGTTTGTTGTAATACTCACTTTTCTCAGTGTAGTGGGGCCAGTTCCGAAAAACCATCGGATCACTGAGGATATGAACGGTGAGAGAGGCGGCCATTAAACTCGCGAACTTTTTCCAGCAATCTGTACCGGATTTTCTGCCATCTTTGTAGTCTGAAATGCCTTTAATTATAATCCAGGGAATGTCCAAGTCGTGAGCTGCTGCATGTAGACCTAGATTCGAGTGAAATAATTTTATTACCTTATAGACTAGTAAGGGAATCCAAGAGAGTCGTGGATTCTGGATTCCACGCCCTGGACTCCGGATTCCCGATTCCAGGTACGGGATTCCGGATTCTTTGTCAGTGGAACTTGGATTCCGGATTCTAATCGCAGGGTGCAAAGAAAGTCAGTTTTACAGCCTGCCATTCCGGCAAGCTGTAGCTAGCATTTACTAGCCCCAAACCCTTTTTGATTAGCAGGATTGATTACAATCCTTCTGTAATTTGAATTCCCCCCAAAAACAGCACTTGCCCATCGGGCAATTTTAGAACAGAAATCACTAGACCGATAGCAAAATCCACTAGCCCCGGGCTATCGGACAGGACTTTCTTTGCACGCTGAATCGTTCGTGGGATCCCGGATTCCAAAGCCCAGGATTGGCGGTTCCACAAGCAAAAATTTCCCCAATTCCGGGATCCGGATTCTGTTACATGGGGAGAGGCTAGACATGCAAATTTAGACACGTGTTTAACAGAAAGCTGGTTTTGTTTTAATTTGCTTCAATGTGTTATTCATTTATTTATTTTAAAGCTAAACTGCTAATTAAAACATTACTTAGGAAAGAGAAAAAAAACGAATTAGAAATTTAACTAAATGCCTTTTGAAGTGTCAAGGTCTTCAGGGGAAGTTGTAGTGGAAGTTGGTTTATGTTCGCCAACGAAAACGTCGCCACTTTTAAATGGGGCTATCTGAGCCAACTGAAGAGTTAGACGCTTACAGGGCAAAGGTAGAATCTTGGTTCAGTTATTGTAACTCAATGGACCCTGAGTGCTGGTCCGATTGGGGGAAAAGTAACCCGAATATCCCGCCTTTGATTTTTTTTTAGGTAACGGCTTTTCTGTAGGCTATGTGATATCTGTGTGACTGTATGCTTACCTTGTCCCTCTAATTCCATAGCAACTGCTTGTGGAAATCGCTTGATGAGTGTCTCGCAGCATTCTTTGTTATCAATCTCCCCAGGAACACTCAGAATATCACCACGATGTATTTTCACTTCAAGTGTTTTGGGATCTTTCAAAGGCGCTTTCCAACCATCTCCAGCATTAGGGATCATCCTTAAAGGAAGGGATTTCAAAGGAACTTTGTCTCCGAACTGCTTACTGGATGGAACACAGGTTATTAACTTCTCTGAAATAACCACGTCGCCTAGTTTGACGTTACTGGATTTTAGGCTACAGCAGACACCAACTAGAAACACAGCTTTAGGCCTCAAGACTCTGACAGCTGCCAATACAAAAACTGCAGAGCCTCCAGCAGTAATTGAACCCCTGCAGCACTTCATTACAGCAATTCTTAGCTTCATTTCACCTTCTCCAATATCCCCGAAGTACACGTATCCAAGGTCTTTCCTGTAGCTTTTGCAGAAACTGGAATTCAAACACGACAGGCAACTCAGAAATTCACAGTCCTCCACCGTTAGCAACAACATGTCAGTTGGGAGAAGGCTATCATTCCAAGGCAATGATTTTGTAGGAAGGTCCTCATTCTCAAGGAGGGTAACAGTGACTTCTGCTTGGTAACTTGCAGTTTCTACGGAGAAAACAAAAGTCTACATTGACGGTCTGAGTTATGAATGCAATAAATACGATTTAACAGTAAATAGGTCAGAGTGTGAACATTGCTTCTTACGCCCTGCAACGTAAACATTTGTACGGGAAAAATTGATATTAATATAACAAACAAAGCGGTAGAACAAACCGCAACCTTTTAAATGACCGCAAAACGATCAGAATATCACACTGGAAGCAAAGAAACAAAAGAAAAGCGAGGAAACTTTTTATTCAATACTCGTTCAAATTTTTAACCATATCGGTTTTCCTCCGATACACATTCTTTTATTTCGACTGTCGTTGATGGTTGTTACCGTAGGTAAACTCAAACGCCTTGAATACCTTCTTTAGGTGGAATGAGGCTGACATAGTGAAGCTCGTGCACGTGACCCAGCACGAGTCGGTTGCTAGCAGTAACATCATACTCTGGGCAAATTATTACGTCATTGTGATGACTACTGACCACTTGAATGCATGTTTCAAAGCAGTTTGCTGCACCGTGTAGAATCACGTGATCACCCCATGTACCATCTGTCATCATGCTCGTGAGGTAAGCATCCCAAGATGAATATCCGTCAACGAAATGGAAGAGCTCTGTCCCATCAGGCTGAGGGAGAAAAATCCTGTACTTAGTAAATAGCCAACACAGCGGGTAGTTAGTTAAAATCTTAGGTGGCTTAATGAAATGAAATAGCAGTAACGCGATAAAAATTGTGTTCACATGAGAAGGCGGGCAAGGCCAGTTCCAGAGACCTTGGTTTCGGCATCGGGGATCTAGGTAACGAGACTGGAAGTTTATCCATACTTTTTTTTTCATCGACAAAATAGATTTCTATAAGAAGTAATGAAGAAGGACTCTCAGAGCTAAAGCAAAAACTATCATTGTGCTCGTCACTAAAATATGATAATGTGGGTGTATTAATTAAGTGTTTTTGAGTCTGCCATTTTGATCAATGAATGTCAAAGTGCTATTATCTTCAACAGCAATGTCACGTGGTTTCTCAGGGGGCAAGCAAGCGACGAAAGTTGACAATGCAAGAAATCGCGGTCGAGTTTGTTCATTCTAGACAATAGAAAAGACGATAATGGCAAATTTTGAATGAAAGTGGTCATTATTGCCTTTTTTTTCCTGGATGAAGTAGCGGCCGTATAGATGTCCTGGCAGCAGGCAATACTAATGTTAAAGTTGTCGAAACTACAAACCATCTCTTTTTGAGAGAATACACCAACTCGACCGCGATTACCCGGTTTGGTCCCGGGAATTGTAATCCCTGATATGGCCCATACGTTGATGTGCCGTTGGTCTGGGTATGGCTTTTGCCCCTCTGTCCTAAACAGGGTGTATAATCTCGAGAGAGTCTGTCCTTATCATAAACAGGGTATTTCCTCCACGGTTGATTTCATTTGCTTGATGAAATTTGTTTCTACTCCAAGTACACAAAAGCAATGACTATAACATGAATTTTCTCTCTTGTAATTGCCAGTGGGCTTTAAAACAAGACGGCGTGCATTTTGTCCTTTGCCCTAAACAAGGTAATAAAGTTGAGGATGTTTTCCCATGCAGGGTATGTCCTAAACAGAGTCAGGGTTTCAAACCTTCAGAGGCTCAACTATACCCAAATACCGGTCGAGTTCTCCCGGGGGTATTGGCAAATTTTATCACTTGTTGCCCCCTGAAATACCACGTAAAAATTGCTTTTATCCCATCCACCCTAAAGCGCGTGCAAAGATTGCGGTATCCTAGGCAGTATCGTGAATAAGGTATATTTTCGCGAGCTTGTTCGTCTCTCGCTTTCTCCGCTTAAGACCCTACATTAGAAAGCGTGCTCGCATGTTACAGTTTCAATTTTCAATAGTCAATGTATCTAGAAAATGTAAGCGAGAAAAAACGCACATTGTATTATCAAAAGAACTTTCAAGAAATTTAGGATATTTACAAATGATATGCCAGCATTCAAAGACAATGAAAGGAATTTTAATGAATAGACTGTCAATAGCCAAAAACATATTAAATCTTCGCCAAGGATTTGCAAAATTGAATAACCGTTGAGTCTTCGACCTAGGCCAAAGCAGAATGATTAAGTTACTGGCAGCAATTAACTTACCAGCGCGGGGTTTTCTTTGAGATATTGGACCACGGTTTCCCGTAACTGTCCATGTGAGCTTTCAGTTCCTTTTATAAGGTCGAGCTGTTCCGAAAGTGCAAAAAACATACAGTTCCCCTCCCCTCGATTGTTAGAAACCACAAAGCCTTTTTCCGTAGTGTACTTCCTGAAATTCCCCGACAACTCAGCTTTGCCAGTCCCTTCCTTGGATTCCAGTTCAATTTGTCGAAGAACAGGCAGTGCTGTTAATGAAAAAGAACACTATCAGTTATAATCTTTGATAGCTTAGCCCGGGGGGGAGGGGGGGGGGGGGGGGGGGTACTCAACAGAGCGTTATACGGGGAGGCTCTGTCCTGCGGTCCAAACCTTTACTCTTTTATATACCATTTTCGGCAGTAAAGGTACTCCTTTCGTATAACTTCTATTGACATGTGGTATCCCTTTCACATATCTAGTTCCATGCACTGTCCTTTAAAATATGAATAAACGACAACACCAGAACGCTTTATCGACTTTTTCACAGCCATAAAATGCATATACTTGAAGCCTAAAAAAGGTACCCCTTTAGGGCGGAGCCTTCCCGTATAGGCCATTATTGGAAGTACCCCACCCGGGTAACTTCTGTTTTGGACATTTCTGTGGCTGACAACTCCAAAGCGAACGAGACCTTTACACAGTTTTTTTTCTTGTTTCTCTGCTTTAGAGTCTTTTACTATATGCTCTATCTTATCTATGATTTAAAGCCCTCCAAATTCTCAATTAAAGAGCTAAAATTTAAGCAACATTAATAATTGCAACATAAAAAACTAGCTACTAAATACCAAGGTAGCTTCAGAATAAACGGTGCTCGGACCTACAACACCCTTCCGAGAATCATCAGACAAGTAGAGACCCTCAGTGAATTTACAATCAAGCTAAAGCGCTATTTTAAACAGTAACGCCTGCGGTACATGTTGCCTTTGTAACTTAATTAATTGTCTAGTTTAAATTTTTTAATGTCAGATTTTTTTGTGTGTGTGTTGTGACAGGGCTCCATTTAAACTAGCTCTGCTAAATTGGATGCCCCTGGATAAATATTGATATAAAAAAATAACTGATACCTGTATCCTTCATTCTCTTAGAAAGCGGAGGAGTGTAAAAAGACACCTTTCCTTTGGATCTACAGTGGAACCCGGGTAATACGGACACCAAGGGGGCATCCCATAGAGGCCGTATAACCGGATGCCGTATCCAAACCCTCTATTAGCGGCTTTCACAAAAAACGTCTTGCACACATGTTTTATCTATATGTAGACGAAAGCAGACATTTTCACGAGGAAACTTTGCTTAAGTTCGTAACTGAACTGCATGAAAAAAGTTCACCCTTAAGAAACGCGACACCTTTATCATACATAGTTTTGGACCAAAATTATCTTTTAAGTCAGTGTTCTTAAAACACGACAATGGAATCCGAATCCGAATCTTTAATTTGTACTAAAGGTTTTGAGTTGCGGGTTCTAATGTACTTTCATAATGAAAATGGTTCGAATGGCACTATAGATAAGGGCGCACACGAGCCAAAGGCCCCCAGGGCTCAAGCCTCGCCCGTCGCGTTGTTTCCTTAGACAAGGAACTTTACTCCACTTTGTCTCTCTTCACCCAGGTGTATAAATGGGTACCGGCGACATAGCGTTGGGGGGTAACCCTGCGATGGACTAGCATCTCGTCCAGGGGGGAGTAGCAATGCTCCTAGGCGTGCTTCATTCTACGGAAACCGGGATAAGCTCCGACCTTTTGGGCCTTTGAATGGCCCTATAAATAGATTTTAAAGTTACGGCCCAAATAATCATGCCAAAACTCGCTTCGGAATTGTAAACTTGTAAATCTGTTCAAAACTGTCAGACTCCCTAAAAGAAAAACGAGGATTTGGAGGGTGATCAGCAACAAAGATAAGGGTAATAAATATTAATGAAATTTCTTATGAGAGAGAATCATGCATGACATTGTCAGTCGTATATTGAAATGTACTTAGGTACTGTTATAAGACACTTATCCACCCCCACAGAAATGTTGTTACCTTCTAGTGAGAACCATTTTTCCAGTCCGGGCAGCGTCGGCATCTCAAGTCTTTTTTGACAGTGCCTCGGTATCCCCCCCTCTACTTTCAGAAGGCACAGACAGTCCTCGTGAGTACAGCACTTCTGTTCGTGGATAGAACAAACCTGCTCATGTCGCAGACAGCCAGGACATGCGACGCACCAGTCACACTTAAGGTTTCTCAACCACCACAGCTCGCGTATTAGGGTCTGCAATGTCTCTTCCAAAAGCTTTCGAACAAGAAGAGCCACCTCGTTTGTTTCAGCGAACGATGCTTGGTTTACTTCACGATGACTTCCCTTTGGTTGCGTCAAGATGATCTTGATGAATCTTTTCCTGCATAAAAGAATGAACTGGTGAAAGGACTTCTTCCCTATGAAAAACCGGACGGCCCCATCGAAAAAATCTGGCGTTTCCTTGAAACCACTCTCACAATACCATCTAGCACACCGTGACACGAGCTGGCAAAAAAGACCGTGAGGGACAAAACCCCATTTAAAATGAAGGTACAGTGAGCATGGATCTGAAGGTGATAGTTCCATTTCACAAAGGAATTCAGGTGGTGTCTTGAGTTGACAGGGTACAAAGTACATTTCATTTGTCGGCGAAGTTATAAACTTGACGATCAATCCAAACTGCTCCATCATGTTCAGGATATCCTCCTTGATCAGGCCTTGCTGCTGACAACACTTGGAGAACACGTGATCAACTAGCTCCATGTGTAGGGCACCTGTCGTCTCCATTTCTTTCCATAACTGGGAATGTCTCGGTTCCTAACAAAACCGAAGAAGGCAATTCTTCAGGGAATCAAGGATCAACGAAACGTCACACCTATTAACGACCTAAGCGTTTTTATCTTTTTGGGGGGTGCTACAACAAAGGCAGAAATAGAGGATTTAGATGTACTGCATGGGGCGAAAAAAAACAGCATTAAAACAAGTATGGATTAGGTAAATGTTTTGAAGTAAGTTTCCAAAGACGGGGGGGGGGAGGCTCGAACTTCGAGCACTTCGAATACTTGAGGTACAAGTCCCGTTGTAATAGTTAGAGAGACAATGTAAAGCTTAGGATCATACATTTATTAATACATCTGGTACGTTAGTACATAATATATTGAGCTTTAGCAGATAACAACAAATATTGGTTATCCTTTTACCAGATACCATTTAGAGTTTAAATGTGCAAGAGGCAGGCCGGCAAAGGGATATCGTACGGTTTTTTTTTCCATTGCTTGTTGTTTTTTCGTTGTGCGTGAAATAATTAAATACACTATTTTCGGTGGAACACATTAATGACGTTGACGTCATAAATAAGGCGTTTGACGTTAAGGTAAGCTCCAACTCGTATGCCAGGTCTAAAATCACATGAATTAAAGTGAAGGTTGGATTGTCTGCCTCTTTGCTCATTGCACACACTTAATTGTTCTGGCTCGGGTTCGCTAATATTTAGCCAGTTTTAAGACTACATATGTCAACAAAAAACGACACTAAAATGATTCTAATGAAGTTAATCATTGCCTTAAACTCTAGAAAACTTGTAAGCTAATAACTCTGGATCCTAACGGCGGAGGGGGGGGATCTGCGATGCCAAGTTGGTCTTTTGGGTTTAAGATAATCAAGTCTATAATCATCATCTAGGTAAATGAATGCGCCTCGGTTTTTCTGCGGCAATGGCAATGCAGGGAATTTTTAACGGTGTGGGATGGTGTTTTCTGTGGAGGGGCTTGCAGTCATTATGCTTCATAAGACTGTAAATGTGGACTTGAATATGTTTCACTTACCATTTCGTTAAAAGAACGAATGGTTATGAGTTGTCTGAAGACCTCAATGAGCCACTGAGCCCGAAGTACAACTGTGTTGCGGTGCCTGACAATCATGCCAAGGTCATGATAAAAATCCAACATGGTGGCAACTTCATCCTCGTCTTCAATGAAGCAAACTCTCTGGATAATATCTTGAAGTTGATCGTGGTTTAAATAAAACACTTTCTTAGCAATTAAAGCTTTGACAACCTGCTCGAAGTTAAACCATCTGAAAGCCAAATAAAATAACAAGATCTTAAAGGGGAAGTTAAAGCATAACTGAACAATGACGGATCTGTACCACTAAAGTAAAAAAAATCCAAGCAAATGAGCGACTTCAACCAGTTGACATAGGAGTCTGATTCTCTTTCGGTGCAAATTGGATAATGCGGCACCGTGCAATCGCTGGTCATTAAAGGTAACGAGCTTTGTCTTTAACTACAAGCTTTTTTAAAAATATCTAATGTTCGCTGCATGTGCAACGCAATGGATCTTAAACGAGGAATTACTAGTGAAATTATGACACTATAATTATTCTAACTAAGAAATTGTGTGCAATAGTTTCGACCACGAGGAGCCGCGTATGATCTTCAATATATGTGTACTTGCAGTATTGAGTCTATTTCGGAGTTGCGTAGGGAACTGGGGCGAGTTTCAAATTTTAAATAATCGATAAACTGACACCACCATATAAAAGTTCATGTTGAGATTGGTTATTTGAAGAAGTTTGGTGCTCTAAGGTGGAACAGGGATCAAGTTATGACTCTTGAAACATGGTTAAAGATCCATACAAACGTCTGTAATTTTGTGACAGCGTCCCCTAGAAGCATAAATTATAAACTCTTAATTTTTTTTTCACGATTTCTGTGATATTCCTGAAAATGAGCAAACATAGTGATTTTCGAATTAGTTCCTTCCAAGTAGCAAATGCAAGAAAAATTTTACAGTGTAACAGAAAACCTGAAAAATATTTTAAAGAGTTTATTTGGTTTTGGAGGACATTTGGCTGCATCTGCTGTACACGATAAATTAATAGGTAATGAACAATTTTTACGGTCATGATGTTGTATACCCGGCCTTAAGCTAAGCGGCACTACCCATCATAAATCAAGTTAGTGTTGAAAGGCCAAGGCTCGATACTCCAACTAACTTGTAATAGTTGACACTACAGCTGCCCCCGCTCTGTATATTTTCAGTAAATAGTATCTTGTTCGTTGTTGCTCTTTCAAATATAACGATTCATAAAGGAGATTTCACACATATTCCATACAATAGGTGAGATAAAAACAGGAAAACGCAAGGTTCCATGCACTGATTCAGTTCGATTAACACAGCTTTGATCAACGTATTCTCAGTTTCGAGAATAGTTTATTCTAAACCATAAGAAAATATTTAATTAGAATTTGGAATTTTTCGCTATTTCTCTTTCACTTTTTACATACAGTTCATTTTATTTGCCGGAAAGTAAGCCTTAGAAATTCGAAGGTTCGATCAATTCACGCTCGCGCGTTTTAGTCTTCATTTAAACTTTATAGCAGGACATCTGTAAGCAGGGATTGAAATAAGTCGCCACAGAATTTAATTGGCAGCGAATTTCTGTAACGCCCATCGTTCTGCTCGTAATAAGGTAGCAGTTGATTTGTTCGTCTTGTTTGTTTGTGGACTGAGTCTTATTCTCCAAAGAGAGAGAAAGAGTGGTCTGGCAAACTGTTTCCAGTGAAAGATTTGTGAACTCGTGTCTGGCAAACTCTTCAAGTGTTTATATATACACAATTATACGCACCTTATAACTTCATCTGCTCTTAACGAGCGTCTTTTGGTCAATAACTTTCAAAACAGCTGTTCCCAGAATGTCACTGATAACGCGTAACGCAAAAGATTATCGAAGTATGACCGTACAATAAATGACACAAAATCTACCAATTATAGCGTCACTTCGGGATTTTCTGTTTTATGTCATCCTAATCATATCTCACTTGCGGGCGCGAACAATAGAAAACGTCATCATTACCCACAGATTCCTCGCGGCCCCTGTTTAAGCAAATCGAAGTTTGTTCTGGCATACTGACTGTATATTTCAACTGTAAGTACTTTCCTTAATATACGCGCGAGCTACTAGAGTGCCTCCTCAGGATTTCGCCTTCTAGGCGAAATCCCTGCGGGGGCAATAAATTTTATATCGTTGTAAAGGGGAAAACGGCCGGTTCGGTGAGCATCTACGTTTCTCCTGCAAAGATCTCCCTGTTTCCCCGATGAAAATTTTGCCGCACTCACGGGAAATCGTTCGGTTCGCGCCGCCTTGTTAAGCCGGATCGACTGCTTTGGAACAAGGTAAAGATGATCTATAGAGACTCGCTGGTATTGTACTCCCGTAGGGCAATGGAAACTATCTACATAATAAGGCTTCACCTAATAACTTCAACAGGGATAGTAGATGCGTGGATGTTCACAGTAAAGAAACACCAAATGAGGATGGCAAATCCGCCAACAGGACTTTACTTCAATAGAAAAGAGCATTGCGGCAGAAAAAGTACTTGCTAATCATTCGACCTCATCACCTGAAGCAGACAAGCAGTAAGAGGTCATATTAAACGTCGAGGTGCCTACATCATGAGACAAACATTAAAATAGGATGAAAGTGTTTTTCTTAACTAAATAACTTACCGAATTGGTACCTCTTCTCCCATGTATGGTTCCTGCTTCAAAACGTCAATCATTCGTTTCTGAAGTGCGGCAACTCCGTCATCAGCTGAACCTTGGGTATTATCGACAGAGAAGAAAGGACGAATCACGTGACGTTCGTAATCCTTTCCAGAAAGTTCCTGCTGAATCTGCAATTCAACCTCCTTGATGTCTTGATATGGTTTATCTGCATGTGTTCCTACGATAAATACTGGAGGGCGACAGTAAGGCAGGTTCTCTACTTTCTTGTCATTTACTTCTGGTTTTAGCGAGTACATAGTGTTTAGAGAAACCAGCCACGACAACAAGTTTTCTAAATTTGTTTCTTTATTTGGATTACTGAGAAGAACTTTCCGAATTCCTTGTTTGACACAAGGCTGAGCGGTTTCCTTTGATCCTTTGCTGAGATCGTACACAAGCATATAAACTGCTCGAGTGGATAAAAAAACTGGGTAAGATGCATAGTAAAGATGTTGACCAGCAAAGTCCCACAAATCAAGGGTCATATGATGTTCCACTGTTGTTGTATCACTTTCAAGGTTCAAGTTTCCCAAAAGTTGAACAAGATGATCTGTAAATTCCTCTGGAGGCAAACTGGGGTCGATTTTTAAGTCAGTTGGGACGGCTGTATTTGTCTCTTTTTCGACGGCTTTACCAAATGTACCCTAAAACGATTTTACAAGGTTAAAATGCTACTACTTCAAAAACATGCATCAAAAATTCTCTATGCGATCGTCCTCTATAGGCGACCACCTATCCAAAACACCCGAAAATTTTTCCAGTTTAAAAAAAAACTACGGCATCAACCTCTGCTCACGCAGCCTCTCTCCTCCTCAGAGGCCTCTTTGTTTCGTAGGGAGGTTTTTTTTTAATTGTTGTTATTTTTAATGTAGTACGTACCCAGCCGGAGCTTATGCGGAGGAGAAAGCCATGCAGCCGTAATCGTAGAGGCACCAGATCTAAACACTTTTTCGCCAATTTACGTTTTGGAAAGTCTCAAGAAAACAAAATAACATAAGTAAATCACACCGAACATATAGGTTAAAAATCACGTGCCTGGGTGATATCAAGACCACAAAGCACTATGAAATCGCAGCCTGTTTGCGCGCGTGATTTGAAATTCTAACTTTTGTCTCACCTATCCGCTCGTCTCTTGGAACAAAAATTAAAGGCCTGCCAAACAGAAGGAAGCTGAAACTGACCTGATTCACTTGAGGCTTGAACAAGGCTGGTTTCTCTTGAATCAATGGCTCCAAATTTGTTTCCTGATCCCGAAGTTTTCGAGGAGCGTCAAAACGAGCCTGCAAGATGAGCCGGTAAAGACAAACACTTTAGTTTTTGAATTTTACTAATTAAAGGGAAATATTGCCGTAGAAGGACTTTTTAAGGCCGCGGGGGACACCTATCTATGAATAAACAACAGAGAATGAATTCAAAAGGCAAACTTTTTCTTGTGCTACATCTTTCTAAACCCTTATATCTCAGCTGTTTAGAGGCGATTTACGTAACAAAAACTTTACAGAGACATTGTGGAATGATGGAAGTTTAGGACGGTTGTTTTTTTATTCGGGCAGATCGCGCTTTACGGCAATGGTTTAAGCCACAGTTGTACCAGTGTCCCGACTAAAGAACGAGTTCTAAGCAAGAGTTCCACGCTTTAATTTTGCTTTTAAGCTGCAATGTTTTCAACGATTTTTGAGGCGAAAAAAAAACGTACAAAGAATTTATTTTGTATAGAGTTTCTTAATTCAATTGATTTCAAAATCACTGAAACAAGGTTTTAAACCTACCATTCAAAGCCTGTTTGTTACTTTTGAATACTGTATAAACATTTTGTCCGCAGTATCCATGCCACACGTGCACGTGAACACTTTAAATTATGCGTCGATATCAGTCGTTGTATTTCGTGCATACGCGCGTTTTATTTTCGATTTGCTCGTTTTAATACGTCCCCATTATCGGCTATCTGAGAGCCTGGCACAGGCTCAATAAATGCATAACAATGAGCCCTGCGACCTTAAACTAATCAATGGGGCCCAAAATCTTACACTACCCAGCTAGCAGAGGCCTCTCATGACAACAGAAAAATGAAAGGAATGAGAGAGACCTATACCAGCCCATAGTCTGCTACACAGCCGTAAACACGGCTGTAGCAGACTAGCCGGGCCCAGACGCTTTCTTTTTATGTAGCCGCTTCACAGATTTGTGGTCGAAACTGTCTTGTTTTCAAAACCGATTTCGTTTTTAAAGTGCAATGCCGGCGGCGTGCCATTTGAGACTGTAAGCTGGAAATTACTGTGCGCACACGGTTTTATGGCCTCCCTGAGCTCCGCGAGACCCTGACCTGTTCTTTTCTGCATGCATTTACCTGAACTAGACTGACCTCTCTTGGTATTTCTTCGATCTCATTTTTTTTCACATTTCCTTCTTCTTCAGCTACGTCGTCAATCGCTTGGAGATAACTAGCTACCATCTTTGCAAGATCGGAAGAAAATTGAGACACTCCTAACTTCTCATCGGTGCGTTTCCAGTTCTTCACTTGATCGATGTCCACTTCGAATTTCGAGGGATCAACTTCAATTCCGTCAGTACTTTCTTCCTCAGGGTCAAAGGGTAGACCTAAGAAGGACTTCTTCAAACTTGTCTTTCCCGCTCGATCTTGACCTATCAGCATGATTCGTGCTCGGTACACCTTTACTTTTCCAGTTTTTAAAGCATTTTCATAGGCAAGCTTTGCTCTTGGTCCTCGTGCTTTGATCTCGTTCGGAACTAGATATATGAAACATTTGTAATACAGTTTTCAGTCAACAAAGAGAAAAGTTTCCATATTTTTGGCTACATTATTGAAAGAAAAGGTTAAGGAAAATACACTGAAGGAAACTGATTTTATCACATACAAGGATCAGTGAGCAAAGTTTTTTTTTAAGGCTGGAATTATCGGCAACTCGGAAATGGCTTCAGTATACATAACAATTATTCACCGAAGTGGAGGTGGCTAGTAGTAGTAGATATTTAAAGAGGCCGCGAAGCGGCGAGGTAAATAGCCACTACTAGCCACCGACACTGAGGTAAATAATTGTTTTAGTATATACTAAAACAGTGAGATAATTGAGCAAAAATGATGATTTTTAACTCATTTGCCGTTGCCAATTTTGGCGTGCGATGACCGAACGGCCGCGGTCGTCGCTTTTTCTTGGCGACAAATAAAACTTTTGAAGGCGTTTGTTTAGCTCTTACGGGGAAGTTTCTTCAAAAGGAGTTGTGAATTCTTTTTGTATTTAAAATCATTCTGTAAAAAAGATTATTAAATATTTATGAACAAGTCAACTAAATAAAGTAACGCAAGACTTAAGATTAATTTGCATTTGTAAACAAAAAACTTTTTCACCGGTTTTATCGATAAATTCAAGTCAAAAAGACAAAGCTTTACCTGTTAAAACTTCCAAACCGAACTTCCTCACCTTCTTCATGTATTTTGGGAATAGCTTGCTTGATTAGTTGTGAAATTTCTTAGTTTGTTACGGCCGCAAACCGGGAAAGCATTTTGCTCGCAACTTACGTGAGTTTGACGTCGCTCGCTCGGAGGAACTGGAGGTGAATCAGTGAATAGTGCAGGATATTCACTGATTGAGTAGCCAATCAGAGCGCGCGAAAAACACTATCCACTGTTTTAGTATATACTAAAGTATATTACCTTCATTATTCATTCAAAGTACAGTAAACACCCGCATATAAGAGGTAAACCTAGAATTTTCGAGACCAGGCTGAACAGGTTCTTATATTTCAGGGTACTTTTTGACAAATCAGGCTGATTGGGTTCTTATAATAGGTTCTTAATTTTTCAGAGTTTGTCGTAGCAAAATCATTCACAGAAATATTACACTTCTAGTACATAATTTAAACTAAAAAAAAACAAACATATGCTTGCCAAGCTAAATATATACACAATGACATCTTATTAGAGGTTTCACATACAGTTAACATCCGGAATTTTGATACCTCTTTTCCTCGCCAGGCTGAATAGGTTCTTATAAACTTGGGTATTAAAATGCCAACTTTCAGCCTGTAGGTTCTTAAATCTTTAGGTTTACTTTGTTTATGTACGTGAGAAAAACGTCAGGGAAAATGGAAACTGTATGGATAGCAATTTTTTTGCGCTTTGTCTTAGGGTTATAGAAGTAAAGAGAACGTTATTTATTAAATTTTGCTATTTTAAAGAGATTTTGACATTTTTCTTAAGCACATAAATGAGGTTAATTAAGTGGCTTTAACTATTTCTTAAACGATGTGTTTTAGGTAAAATAATTAAGGCTGTATTCATTATGTATACCACAGGCGGGTGAGGTGGGGGGGGGGGTGGTGGGTGGCAGAGAATTTTTGGTGTTATCTTAAAATTGTTTTGAAGGGAAAAGGCGGGGACTGGGTAAAAATTTCTGAAAGGGGGATGCCAATTTTTTAGATGCCATTGAAAACTTAAGCATTTGTGACATTAATGATAAACCACTACACAAGTGAATTCCCTTATTTTCTAGTGCAATGAAGGATGTTTTCATTATGTACTAAACTGCAATGTCCTTTACTTTGGGCATTAACCAGCTCTGTCTTCATTGTCATTGCCACCTTTACTTTTATCCTGCTTTTTTTTAATAATGTCACAGTTTGTACTCATTCTCATTATCATCATCATCACCATTATCATCATCAAAATTTTAAAACGGAAAACGGAAACTAAGAGTGTGGATTGCCTTTTGTTGAATAAAGAATAGGAAATAAAAGGTAATGGGACGAACCGTGCACGGACCGGAAGAGAGCTAATATGAGATTGAACACAATCTTATGAACGTTATGACTATGTCTTGAAAAGTGACGTCACCGACCGAAATTTGACTTATTTACTTTTAGCGCTGGTTAATTTGCTTTATATGTGTGTAAAAGCAACTTTTGTATATCTTTTGAGTTCAGTTGCTATCGTTACTCGTTTCGTTCACTTTCAGCCGGTCCCAGTCCTCCTGTTTCAGCCCAACCTAAACAAGTCAAATGCTCTTCATTTGTAAATCATTTGAAAATTAGTTTTTCACATTGAAACATCCATACCTGACATAGAGTACTCTAATACATCCTCTTCATAATCATCAAGGAACTTAAGAAAAAGTTTTTCATACCGATCATACCAAACTGTTTCGGGACTCCTATTTAACGACAAGTTGCGAACAATATGCGCTTCTTTTTCCAGGTACGGAATATATACTGCTTTGGCAATTCTCAGACATAGTTCGCTGTAACGTACGCTTTCTTCAAAATCGTCAGTCAAGTGGTACGACCAGCCCAGAAGAAAATATGCTTCTGCTTGTAGTTTCCAATTTTGCACCTCCCTGCCTATTTTCAGTAACTGTTTGCAGTATTTTCTGCTTTCTGTGAAATCGCGAAGTCTGTAAAGTGACCAAGCTAGAGCACAGAGCGCTTCTGCTTGGAGTTCCCTATTTCCCACTTCCTGGGCAATTCGAAGTGATCGTCTGCTGTATGATTGGCTTTGTACGTATTCTTTAGTCGGCTCCCCATTTCTCACTTCCTTGGCTTGACTCTGTAAGACGTCTCCAATCATATGATACGACCAGCTGAGAACATGGCAAGCTTTTGCTTCCAGTTCCTTATTTCCCAATTCCATGGCAATATTCAGAAGTTGATTCCCGTATTCTTTGCTTTCTTTATAGTCTCCACTTTTATGATATGACCATGCTAGCACGTGACACGCTTCTGCCTCCAGTTCCCTCTCTCTAATTTTCTTGGCAAGACTTAGTGATTGTTCACCATAATCTTTGCTATCTTTAAGTTCTGTCATCTCATGATACAACCAAGCTAGAAATTGGCACGCTTTGGCTTCAAGTTTGTCATTTCTCACTTTCTTAGCGATACTCAGTGATTGTTTGCCGTATTTTTCGCTTTGTTCCTAGTCTACAACCTCCTTACACGACCAAGCTAAAACGTGGCACGCTTTTGCCTCTAGTTCCTTATTTCCCAATTTCTTGGCATTACTCACTGCTTGTTTGCCGTATTCTTGGCTTTGTTTATAGTCTCCAGCATCATAATAAGACCAGGCTAGGTTAAAGTACAGTAATGCTTCCTGCTTTTTATTTCCCACTGTCTTGGCAATGTCTAATGATCGTTTTCCAAATCCAATACTTTCTTCATACTCGTTCACTTCATAATAAGAGTCGCATAGAACTTCGCACGCCTTTGCTATTTCCTCCTTACTTCCCATTTCTTCGGCAACGCTGAGCCCTTCTCTGGCATACTTTATGCATTGCTCAAATAACCCTTGTGTTTTTAGGTCTTCGGCTTTCTTTATCTTTTCCATGGCACTCGTTACACCTTTCATACTATTCTTTTTCCCTGCTCCCGATATCACCTCTAAAAAATGCTTCATAACTGCTGAAAAACAATATTATAACAGCTTTATTCACGCACCCGGCCGTTTTCGACCACGTTTTCATCGAGAGGAATATGAGGAGCTGGTCATTTATTACCTGTGAGAAGGTGCTGGAAAAAATTCCCCATAAATTGTACATATTGTAAAAGTGACCCCCCACCTGATTGCTATGGAAACTACGAATATTCTAGCTACAAATCGTGGCGAATGTCACCACATATTTTATCTCCAATCGGTGTTTTAATACTATTAATGGCCGTCACATTCAATCACAATTCATGCTCGTCACTACTTTGTATTATTAGTTTCATGACATGATCAACCTGGTAACGCTCCCTTCGATATCTGAAAATGACCCCCTCAAAACCAATCAAGATTTTGAAAATGACCCCGCAGCAAAATGGCCGGCCCCACCTCACGACCAGCCTAAGGCTGCGTGCAAACGGACACAACAACTCCCAACATTGTTGCGCCAACAATGTTGGGAGTTGTTGCGTGCGTGCTGGCAGTAGTCTGCAAACGGATGCAACAACTCCCAACAATGTTGGGACCTGCAGTGCATCGTGGGAAGGATAAAACCCATAAGTCTTTGTCAACCATGCTTAATGAGCGTGCGTGGCCCTAACAATGTTGGCAGAGCTGTGCAAACGGATCCAACATTGTTGCGCTACGCTTCGGCGATCACGGAACAAAAGAAATGTTGGGAGTTGTTGGCTGAAAAGTGTGACCGGTTTCAAACTGCTCGCAACAACACGCAACAACATGCAACAGGGTGTGCAAACGGACGCAACATGTAACATACAACAATGTTGGGAGTTGTTGGTCAACAATGTTGCGTCCGTTTGCACGCAGCCTAAGATAGACACATATGCTTCTGTTTAGTTACGCTTGTGGCACAGACAGCCCAAGTTCAATACGAGAGTTTCATACTTGAGGGCTCATATTGCTTTATCTTCAAATGGCCGTGAACATAATGGATTTGTATGGGAATTCAGGTTATAGATTCAAGAAGATAAATAATTGCTGGAATTTTCAATTAAAACACTTTACCTTAATGTAGTGGAAACTAGGGGGTAAAAAAAATCGCTTAAATCGCAGCCGATCGCACCACTCGGCGAGCGAGGTTTTTCCTATTTGACCCCGTTTATTTGCCCTTTTCCTTCACTGCGGAACCTGGTCCCAGACTAAAAGGGAAAACAACCATACAGAAAGCAAGAACAAATCTAACAAGAATCGCCAAAAGGCGATTTTAACTGGGCTGCTAATCTTCCTGGGGAGAGGGTGGCTGCACAAACTCATGCCACCAGGCTTGTCGCTGACCATTGCGTGACATTGCATCTCATGTGAGAGTTAAACATTTACTCATTTGAACATTGTACCCTTTTGGAAGACTTTCTTAACAAGAAAAATGAGTACCATCTTTAAGTCGGGGCTGTATAGTGCCTTTTCAAATTCCACCATTACGAATAAAAATAAGCAAGTGAGCCATTCAGATCAAAGCAGGAAACAATAAACGTTATTTTCACGTACCCCTCCCCCAATCCCTCTGTTCCCCCAAAATATAGTGTGTCTAATTTGACCTAACCGGAAATTCCAAAAATAATTGTCGTTATGGGTCATAAAACGCTGTCAATAACAAGCAGTACATTTCTTAATTCTGGTTTTTTAAACTAACAAAGCGAATTAAATCTAAGTTTTGTTTTTGCCTAATATTGCATTATAAAGCCTTTCTAACTGTCCTAGTGAATATATATACATATTTATATCACGCTCTACTTTAACGTATCGAGCACTCTACTACGGAAAAATCGAAACACAGACTTCCTATACATATTTTTATATTTTTTTGGCGTAGTGATCTACAATGAGCACATTCCCCAGACGCAAAATAACAATAGCATAAGATAAAAGAGACACTGGCCGTCACATTTGAAACGATTTAAACTTCAACAAAAGAGAAGAGAAACCTTAAAAGCGACCCATCCTACCATCTTTTGAAAATGGTACTAATGAAAAGTGCCAATGATAGCTTGAGTGACGTCTTCATTCACTGGAAGAACAAACACACACTCTACACTGACTCTAGCCACACACACACAGAGATTTGTAAACACATTTTCAAAGGGAAAAACTCAGCAAAAGGTTTAAACTTCAACAAATAATGAAGAAAAACCCCAAAAGGTACTCTTTGTAGAATCTTTAAGGAGATGATGAAAAAGCGCAGTACGCTAACTTCAAACACATCTTCATTTAATGGCTGCCTGCACTTAAAATGAGTAAGTACTTCATGTCAAACCATCATAAGGTTGTGATGTGTTCATTTTGACGACATAAATCCCCAGGAGTACTCTCTTAAATTAACCTTATAGATATTGCTCTGAAATAGTGTCAAGATCAGGAGAGCCAGACAGTGCACCCCCACTACGACTTCCCAGAAATACCCCCACCCTCCCCCCCCCAAAAAAAAATGGAACTCATTTTATAAACAGGGCTGAGCCACAGGTAGCCCAGTTAATAATTTTTAATTGAAAATTCCAGCGATTAGTTATCTTCTTGAATCTATGACTTGAATTCCCATACAAATCCTTTATGTCCTCGGCCATTTTGCTTGTCACGTTCCTTGCATGAATTATACCATGTCCTTTACGTTTTGGGACTTGTTAATAAAACTAACGGAAAAAAAACCGTAAATTTTGGCCAAACTACTATAATCGTGGCCGCTGTGACAGGCCCCCTTTATATGAAGTTGCTCCGGGAAAGAGGGTCAAATCAAAACCTGGTGTTCCAAGGTGAAGGGGGGGGGGGG